AAAGCGAGGCTTGTCAGGGAGGGGGGAGTATAAGATAAATGATCTGTTTGACATTTATTACAGTATAGTTAAAAGTGATAAGCATAAAGGAGAGTAATATGACACATTTTATAGGAATGCATTCATTTTCAGTCCCAACACCTACAAGTTTAAAGATGGAGGACTGAAAAAGATATTTAAAGAAATGAAATTTGAGTCCACTATAACCGAGTTTCTAAGTTCTAAGCTGTTCACTATAAGCGTTAAAAATAACATTATTTAAATAGGAATACGGACGGGACCGCTAAAAAAGTTCACTACATCCGAGTGTTCACTATATCCCAGGTTCACTATAGCGGGGTTCGACTGTATTTCTTTTTTCAATTTTGGGAGCGGAAGGGGGGGGCACCTGGATCCACCACTGATTCTTTGGTTGGGTCACATTCAGCCGTTTAAGAGAATGGAAAAAAATGTCTTCGATTTCTAAACCTGGTGCTACGGAAAAAATTAAGAAGATGGTGGGTGGTATTAATATTTTATCTTTGATTTGCGTTGGCGGTTAAGCGGGGTTCAATATTCAAAACTCATGAATATAATGTTGATTCGAAGTTTTTCTTTTAAAATAATCACCATTAAAAGAAATAAAAAGAATTCATAATTAATGCGTTTATTATGAACAGCGCATTGGCCTATCTCTGCGGACGCAATGAAAAACCAACTAAGAACTAAATTCTTTTTGTTACAAATAAATGTAGGATTGCAAAGCCGCTTTTAATATATATGTTATTTTTTATTTCATAACCGTCGTTGAACTGCCGAGCCAATTTTTGGGTTTACGTTTACTAATGCTCCACTCCGTTGACTTGTAATTTTGAACCCAATCCAGAAGACAAGTGAACTGCTGGACCAAGTTTTGGGAGAAATTTTACCTACGTGGAGGACTTTTTGATGGAATTAACCCGCATATGCATTACATGGAGAGGAAAACTACGAAACCTCTCATGGTTAGCCTGACGGCAAGAGGACTCTAACCCACGATATGTCTACCTCTAAGGATATTTTAAGTCGGTATTGTGGTCGGTGCAAGCTGGATACGGAATTAATATCTACCAGCCATCGCTGGTATTCGAACCCAGTTCATTGGAAGGCATCGCGGCTCGTTTTAATACATGAGTAAATATATAGAATACATGAGTAAATATATCTCTAAATATATAGACTTTTGCCATCTAAAAACTTTTTTAAGCAAATGAAGTCAATCCATTGACAGTATCATTATCAAATAATATCATTAAAATTGAGCCTAAGTAATCGGATTTTTTTGAACTCAGGTCATCTTATTGGAAGGCGAGAGCCAGAACTACCACGGCTCAAGTCTTTCCATTCAAAAACGTTTTTCAAATTACGACTAAATAAACAGGCTTCAAAAAACTTTCTACAACAGCCCATCGTGGGCCTGAGGGTTCATGGAAGTTTAAAGCTCTACAATTTCCTGTTCAACAACATGTGGTCGGTATGACACATTGGCCGTATTTATTTTTCAGACAGCCGACCAGGTGGCCGAGTGGTCAGCGTGTTTGACTGCGGAGCCATTAGCCGTGGGTTCGAATACTGCTCAGGCCATAGATGTTGTGTAAATATGACCCTCCCTATAAACGGATTTGTGGTTGTGTGACGTGGACGACGCTGCTCCACCGCTGTGGCTTCGCCACTGGTGCCCACTGGGTAACGAGAAGAGAGTAGCAGTTCAGGCATTTCTGTGGCCAATGGAACAAACCCCAAGTGCCCGCCATTAAAAAAAAAAATATTTCAGACAAGCTGGGACCCCTTTCAGTTAAGCTGAGTTGGGTTCAAACTGTGTCTGGGGATCGAAACCGAGTTCTTCATTATGACTATTTAGTGCTTTAACCACTGAGCCATTTGAGCTATATATTTGGGTTAAATTCTCAAA